ACCCCTCAAATATGGGTCACACTCGGAGCGAGCAAACTTAACCTTTCGATCGTCCGTATCTTCGTCTCAAACCTACCAGTTTCACCTACTGTCTCTGCCACCTCCCTCCATGCCTGGCTCCTCCGGTTTGTATCCCGGTAGGTGAACAGGGACTGATCATAAAAAGCACCGGGTGATTCCCTACCGCTATGATTATTTTCTCCTCATTTTTTGGCATATGAGGAAATGAACTGCGGTCTGGCTCTCCCAGCATACACGCAGTTTGATTGGCTAGCGCTTGTACTGGCAGATTTGCATAAACGGGATTTGATTGGCTGACGCCTCCATCGAGGCGGCAAAAGTAGAACATTGCTCACTTTTGCAGCGAGCACCGCGAGAGAAGCTACGCTTTGCTCCCACAATGCAGTTCGGCGAATCGTGATGTCACCCCATTCAAAGTGAATGGGCAGTCAGAAGCGTTGAAGCGGCAAAGCACGCCGCCGTGTGTAGGGGCCGTTGCGGAGCGTCCACACAGCAGCGTGCGTTGACGCTTGGCGGTGGGCGTGTCTCAAGCTTGGGGAGTCAACGTGAGCAACGCGACCAACAACCAATCACATGAATCTCCCGCCCCCGACATACAAAGCAAAATGCTAGCATTCCATGCTAGCTATATATACTGTCTATGCCTGCTAGCTGTCCATTCAATGTTTAAACGAGGTACACTGGATATAAACTCCCCAAACAGGCGAAAACCTACCAGTTTCACCCACTATCTCTACCACCTCCCTCCATGCCTGGCTCCTCCGGTTTGTATCCCGGTAGATGAACAGAGACTGATCATACAGCACCTGGTGATTCACTACTCGCAGCATACACGCGGTTTGATTGGCTAGCAGTTGTACTGGCAGATTTTCATAAACGGGATTTGATTGGCTGACGCTTCCGTCGAAGCTTCAAAATGTTCAACTTTTGACGCGAGCAACGCGTGCAACGCATAGCTACGCTCCCCACAATGCAGTTTGGCGAAGCGTGACGTTACCCCATTCAAAGTGAATGGGCAGAAGCGTTGAAGCTTCAACGCACGCCGCTGTGTGGACGGGCCGTTACTGTAGTTGCGCCGTGTTTGGGGGTGCGGGTGCTAGTGGCGAGCCTTCGCAGAATGGGGTGCTGCATGCCCCTCACTTGCAAGGACGTTGATCGAAATTGCGCGATGTCTCGCTGTCTTGCAGATCCCATGCAGCAAGCAGGAAATGAACCCAGCTCACACTGTCCGCTCCTCGCAGCAGCGAGCCGCTCAACGTCCCGCCAACACGGCACCCAGACCCCACGCAGCATTCTCATCTGTTTGTCATTACTGGTGGCATTTTCTGGTTGCTAACGCCATTGTAACACATAATCACTGATGTTCCGCTGTAACGGTGGTGGACTCATCAGAACAGAGTGGGCGAGCTGACCAATCAGAGCACAGTGGGCTCATAGGGAGGGGGGGGGGGTTGGCAGGACCTCCAACAAGGCGTTTAGGACAGAGAGTGAATACACATACTTTACAGAGATGCTTTATGAGAAACCAATGTGAGTTTGGAAGATTGGGAAATATAAATCTATTCTAGTAGACCTCAACAATGGAATTATGATCAGTAGAAATGGCCATGACATGGGACCTTTAATGCAAAATGTTACTTTTATACTATATAACATAATACTATTATAACAATTTCACAAAGTTTGTCCAATACTGTATCAATTGTTTTGCACATGCATTTGTGTTTAAGAAGTTTTGTTATTTTTTGAATCATGAAGAATTGCTCATTATAAAACCTGCAATATACATTTGTACACTTCCGAGACACATTACGTTTATTGGGGTTGTAGAATATAAAACAGCACATTGGGATTTAGATAACTAATTCTCAACAATCTAGTTCCTGCTCTGACATCACACACACCCACACAAATATTTAGCTACGAGTAAATGACTAGAAAATGTCCTTCACAATGTCAAATCATTTTCATTGTTCATATTTGACAACACAACTATTGTGTATGAGGACAACACTGCTTGGAGATGGTGGGAGCAGCTCTGCAAAGCTTTTGTACCAGCATACTGGCTTATTTACTTCATCCAGTTGGAGCTTAGCCGTTATAGCGGTTTGGAGTGAATTTTATAACTGGGCTCTTTAACACCGGCTCATGAATGAATGCTGCTGATTTGACCTCCTCACTTACAGTACACTTTCTGTATCTGTAAGCAGTTACCTCTCACAGTTGTGATGACAGCCTGAGTGCTGCATGCCACACTGCCCTGTGAACGACAGCCCTGATGACGGATAACACTTTATTTATACTGACGGATAACACATGCACTGCAAAGGCACACTGACAAACATGCAAATAAACTGAATGCTACAGGCATACCAACACTTGAAATGGACTAAAAATAACCTTTTTATAATATCAAGCATTTATATGTTTGTATACTTTTTTTGTCCATTTATCCTAAAACTCTGGCTCGAACATAATTGTACATTCACGATCGAATCATTTAAAATTCACACTGTTCAACACGGTATATATCTGACACATCTAAATACACTATGTATTTTCCTTAGTGGCTAAAGGCTTACACATCCACCATATGCTTCGTCTTATGGACTTGTTTACTTCTCGTGTCTGAAACTTTTATAGTGAGGAAGTGACCGTGTGTTTTCCTCTTCTCTCCACAGGACTGAGTGGCCCTGCAGTCCTGCATCCTGACTGTCTCTGGCTCTGTTTATGTGTCTGAATGTCCACCATGACTTGGAGGAGACTTGTCTGGTGGAGCCCCTGCTGACACCCCGTCCCCACATATCCACCTCAACCGGCCCCTTTCCTGACACCTTTGTTGTACCACTTTTCTCTGGAGCCCCCCTCTCTGTCTAAGCTGTCACCATGGCTAGCCTGGTGCTCAATGAGACCGGAATGGAGGACTGCGGCATTGACGACTCCTTCAAGTACAACTTGTACTCAGTGGTCTACAGTGTGGTCTTTGTCTTGGGCCTGATCACCAACTGTGCCGCCCTCTTTGTGTTCTGCTTCCGGATGAAGATGAGTAACGAGACCACCATGTTTATGACTAATTTAGCATTATCCGACTTGGTGTTTGTCTTCACGTTGCCATTCAAGGTCTTCTACAATGTTAACCGCCATTGGCCCTTTGGAGACGGACTGTGTAAGGTATCAGGAACGGCCTTCATCACTAATATCTACGGCAGCATGCTCTTCCTCACCTGCATCAGCGTGGACCGCTTCCTGGCAATCGTCTACCCTTTCCGCTCGCGCTCCATCCGCACGCGCAGGAACGCAGCGCTGGTGTGTGCCGGCGTGTGGCTCACCATCGTCGGAGGAGGAATATCGGTGACCTTCTTCTCCACCATTAACAGCAACAACAAAGCCACCACCTGCTTCGAGGGCTTCTCCAAGAGCACCTGGAAGACCTACCTGTCCAAAATCACCATCTTCATCGAGGTGAGTCCCCAACAGTCAGACATAATACCATAAACACGAGAGATGGACCGATTGCAATATCCTCTGCCGATTCTGATTCCTGATTTTTTTAAGTTTGACCGGCTGATTTTCTTTCTTTCCAATTAATTGAGACAGCATGCACACATTTTTTTTAAACCTTTCCTTTATTCAAACATTCTGATTCAATTCATGATAAAATATGGACTATATAAATATATTTATTCTCCAGCAGACCCTTAACAAAAATATGTTTACATTTGCATCTACCCTAGCATTGCAACGGTAAAAATGTGGTTACCCACCAACAGCTGCTTGTGTGTGGCTGTTAAGTAACTGTCTGTATGTGTCTGACAAAAAAAACGCAAATATGATTTTGGTCACCGTTCATGGCCAAAAAACTGACAACTTAAAAGTTTCAATTGTCCGCTGAAGGATTTATGCATGTATGAATAGACACTATTTATACACTTTCTCTATTAAGCTAACCAGAGACAAAGCTTTAATGTTTTTCTATTTTTAAGTTAAGTTTCTTCTTTGATTCCCAGATTGTGGGCTTCCTTCTTCCCCTCCTGGCCAACTTGGTATGTTCCTCGCTTGTTCTGCGGACACTTCGGCGTCCGATGACTGTTGGCCGCGGCTGTAACAGCAAGAAACGTGTCCTGCGAATGATTTTGGTCCATCTGGGCATCTTCATCATCTGCTTCGTCCCTTATAACTCCATCCTCTTCCTGTACGCCCTGGTGCGGACCCAGGCCCTGGCTAACTGCGCTGTGGAGCGCTTCGCCCGAACTCTTTACCCCATCACTCTGTGCCTGGCCTGCCTCAACTGCTGCCTGGACCCCGTGGTCTACTACTTCACCTCGGAGAGCTTCCAGAAAAGCCTGACCATGGGAGGCAAAGGGTCCGGCTCCCGGCCCCAGAGCATCCCTCGCAGCGACACCGAGACGCTGGACGCCGCACACACTCTCCCCAGAGACACACACACGGCGGCCAGCAACGGGAAGGATTCGAAGATGTCTGAGAGTCAGTTCTGACTCAGCATGGCAGACGGAAGTTAAAAAATGGATGGTGTGGGTTTGACGGGAGCCCTGCATTTTGAAAACAAAGCGATCAGCTGTTTGGTCCTGGAAGTGACACATAACTCAGCAGATTAGTTAAGTCCTGAGGTAAATCCTGAGGTATGGCCTGGGATTTACGGATTAATCCAGCACTGGAGAGCAGAGGAATGTATCTGTGTGTGTTTATTATGAGAGAACACTACGGGGATCAGAGTCCCAGCCACACCGGGACTATTGTGCAGAGACACGCAGGGCCTCTGAGAGAGACTGCAACACATCATCACCCAGGCTTAACACACAAACACTCACAAATGCACTGGATTGTGGAGAGAATGGAGATTTCCATTAGCATTGTTGAAACATGCTGTTTAGTACTTTTGTAACACACTGAGCCCTTAAGTTGTATTGTTATAAAGTTGAAGCTTTCGCAGCACAATATATCATTTTAGACATTAATGTTGTGGCACTCTTTAGTGTGGTGAGACCCACTGTTATTGTAACACAGCAGCGCGCTGAACTACTGAGTTAAATGTGTCTCATGTTGAAGTTTGAGGCCATTAAATGTCTGTTTTGAATAACTTTCATGGCTGTATTTATTATTTCTGTCCCTAGCCCTATGCCGTTTGGTTCGGTCAAACGCATTCCGAACTGGCCTTTGTCAGCATGACTGTAGGTTTTGATTTGTCCCTGTGGAGGAGTTTTTTTTTCTACTCCATGTCTTCGTTTGCATCAAGTAACTAGAGCGGTCTTGTTCTCTAACATAGGGCGGCTCTGATCCGGTGGAGGACCTTGGCCTGTTTGCTGTGTCACAGGCCAAATGCTTATTATGACTGGAGCAATGGTCCATTGTTTGCCTCTGAATGAGCTCTCTCTGTCCTTAGACTGCAGATCTGCTCTGTAAGTCTCTTACAGTCAGCAATGTGCACACGCACTCCAAAGTACGGGCAAACACTGTTGACTAAAAAACCCCAATCATCGTGTTACGCTGCACGTAGAGCATAAACAGTAATCCAAGAGTTTGCTGAAATTGCTTTTATTTGGCTATAATACTTTCATATAAAATACCTTTATTTTGATTCAGTACATAACGCTTGTTTCAAGCAGTGCAACACTAGGACTAAGCGCAACACCAGCAGTTAAAGCAACTATTCAATCAAATCATTGTAAGGAGAAATGTTTTCGTCTACAAATCCAAGTACACTTTAGTGAACTGTGACCTGCCAATTTAGCATATTTGACCTTGATAGTCCAGGATGAAGAAAAACATCCATAGCCAATTAGCATGTAGCACCCTCCACTTGTATTTAATTCAGAGTGATGAGACAAGAGTCAGAACAAGTATTTATTTTCAAAAAGCTTTCCCCATTAGCAGCCTTAAAAAGTTGCTAACTAGCTTTGTTGTGGTCTAGCCTTTAAAGGTGACATTGCATTGAGCTACTGCAGTGGTTCTCAAACTTTTTCTGTCAGGCCCCCCCTTTGGAGAAAAAAAAAAGTCGGGCCCCCCCAACACAAATAGTCAGGCTCAGTGGCGGCGCCAGAGATTCTATTTTGGGGGTGCTGTGGGGTAGCTTGACGTTTCATAGAGGGTGCTCAAACATTTAGGGTTTCCCATTAATGTACTGGTCGCTACAGTGGAATGTTCTACTGTAACAATCCCCACACACACACACACAGTGTACCCGCGACTGTTACAATGAAGTGTGGGGATTGTTACAGTAGAACATTCCACTGTAGCGACCAGTACATTAATGGGAAACCCTAANGTGTGCCTTGGCAGTCTCAGTTGCTTGGACGAGTTGAACCTCAGCGGACGCATGATGAGCTGACAGCGACGCACGCTGACACACACCAGGAAGAAGATGGAGGCGTACATGTTGACGTACTTGAGATAGAAGCATATCATGCAGAGAGGTCGACCAAAGGGCCAGGTGTCGGTGAGGTAGTAGTAGATCCGCAGAGGCAGCGAGAGTACCTGAGAGCAGAGGGTGTCAAGATGGTCGCAGAAGAAGAACTACAACATGTAGACGACACATTTGATTTGATTCCCACTGAACCTTGGAATGCATTTTGGAAAAGCTTCTCAAAGGTTAGTAATTATTTCTTTATATCTGGAAGATACATTTCCCTTTAGTTAATTGGTAAATAAACCATCAACTGGAGGTTGTCCACAACTTTGCAAACTTGCAAAATAAATGTTTTGTCTTTTTTAAAGACCATTACATTTAGTTTAACCCTTCTTTTTATAAACAGAATACAAACAGACCCTATGACAGTTACAGTATCTTTGAAAACACGATATGGGCCACTGATTTTGATGAATTTACTGTTTATCAGATTTCACGAGACAAGAATTAGCTAGCTAGCGCAACCTGCCACGCCTCACTCCCAATCGTTTGTGTGCTGTATAGATGGAACTTTAGTTAGTGGCTGTAACTAACTCAAATTCCACCTGTCGGGAATCAGAAAACTTTGACAAAAAATGTTTATGATTGTTGATGAATACATTCAACACTAAAACATGCCCTTATATCTGTTTACACCTACATTATAGTGTGTTGTAAAATATCTTCAGTGTTATATAATCATTAGCCGCAGAACAAAGGAAATATGAATGGTAAAAAGTATTTTTTGTCAGATAAGATTAAAGATGAGACAAATTGTGGATACATATATAAATACTCTGACTGGCACAATCCAAAAAAAAACATAGAAACTTTACCTGTAGCAGGTCGGCCACAGCCAGGTTAATCATGAACACCACCCCTTTCTTGGTTTCTCTGATGTAAACCTTGAACACCCAGAGGGCCAGCACATTTCCCAGCAGGCCTGGCGCTAAGATCACACTGTACACCACCGCATACAGTTTGTGCTGGTACGTCCGGAGAGCTTCAGTGCTTGTACAGTTGTTGTTGTTGTTGGCAAAGTTCATCTTAAGCCAAGGGCTGTTCACTGTTTACTGTAAGGACAAGCTGCCTGGTGCATTCACAGGATGCTTGAATCAGAAACGATGCTTAAAGCGTGGGAACGGAGGTGTTTGAGCGCCAATGCTCTCCATTATGGCGCGTAGGGGTTCGCTCTTGTGTGAAGTATATTAATGGTCCAACACTGATAGACTCTTGATGTTTCAAACTGAAATCGACCCCAGGTACACGGCACTCTAAAAGAGAAGAAAAGAAAGGGTTACTAAATCATCCTATACCAGTATCATATTTTACATATTGCGTGAGGCATCATGTAAAAACATTTTGCCTCTCATAAACACATCTCATTTTACAGCATTGGGTCCCAACCACACTTTGGCTCGACAGGCCACCTGTTGAAACGGTGTGCAACATAAAAAGCCTTTTGTGTTTGATTGCAACTTTTGCAGTGGCGTTTACAGTAAATATGCAAACCCACAGAGAAGTTGATGCTGCTACAATGTCCCACATAGTGTTCACTATATCTACACCTGCACAACAGATTACAATGAGCCAGTGTGTAACGCCTGGAGCGAGGCGTCAGTGAAACTGGTGTGGTTAGGCAGTCACACCAACACAAACAACACTTTTTGTGTTGAATTCACAGTTTGAATAAGTGACACCTTCATGATCCTCTTTGACATGAACATTTAAATGATGATAATTCAAGTGCAATGCATTTGAAGGTAGCCTTACATCCTGAAACATTGATTTCTTCAAATGGAAATGTACAGTCATATCTGACAAGCTTTGTAGGTGTCACCCACCCACTGCTGTAAGCATGAGTAGGTCTACACAGGTTCAGGTGGGGTTTTCCCAAAAATCTTGGACTCATTAGTCATTTCTGACCTGATTTAGTTCAAACTACACAACTTCAAAACTGTCATTCCAAAATAAGAAAGAAATGTTTTTGTTTTTATTGTTCTGGTCTTTCACTTCCAAAGCTTTTTACAGAGCATTTTTAATCACAGGGAGTTTAGAGAAGCTTGTCGAGCAGCAAGGAAACAATGTGACATAAATGGTACTGATAACGCGCATACATTTGAATATCTGCCCTAAACTTTTGAGGATGTACTTAAACATCAACAAATACACAGTCAGTATGTTACTGTTTTAGTATTTTTAAGGGAAGTCACACTACAAGCTTAGTTTTCAGATCCTTTACGTCAATGTAAATAAGTAAATGGCCTGCTTTACAAATAAAATTCCCATTGTAGGGATCAGGCTCCTCTTAAGGGTCACAAGATAGATCTAAGGGTGTATCATTTATGGGAGAGGGAAGGAAAAACAATCTGCCTCATACCTTTTTAAAATAACATTTGAAGCCCAAACACTTGGGCTTTGTTATAAGAGGTCACAAGCCAAAAAACTTGCAAACCACTGGGTTTAACCTTTAACAATATTGTGTTTCATAAGCTTATACCATGTCTTCTTCACCTACGAAATGTTACTCAAGGAGACACAAAACAAACTATTAAAAGACACAAGCCAATCACAAAGAGACTCAAAACTATTAAAAACAGACACAAATCAAACACAAAACAATCAACAAAGACAACCACTTAGGGACACAAACCAACTACAAAGACACACAAAACAACTGCAAAGACACACAAAACAACTGCAAAGACACACAAAGAAACTACAAAAGCTCTCCAAACAAACTACAAAGAGATACACAACAACGACAGAGACAGAAAACAATCCCAAAGACACACAAAACAACCTTCAAACACAACACAACTTTAAAGAGAAACCAAATAGCTACAAAGACACACAAAACAGCTACAAAGAGAAACTGAAAAACTACAAACAGACACAAAACAATCGCAAAGACATACTTGTCTTTGCGATTGTTTTGTGTCTGTTTGTAGTTTTTCAGTTAATCTACAAATAGACACAAACAATCACAAAGAGACTTAAAACTATAAAAATAGACTCAAATCAACCAACACACTCAAAAAAGGGCACAAAAAAAACTACAAAAGGACACAAAACAACTACAAAAGGACTCCAAACCAACTACAAAGAGATACAAAAAAACAGAGACACCAACCAATTAGAAAAACAACTACAAAAAGTCAAGACTGTGTTTTCTTGCCTTGTAGGAGAGGTGGTGGCCCTGTCTGTCCACAGGGGCCAATGATCGCATGATATGCTGATGGCTTTACAAAGTTGAATAACTTCCAAAAACTGAGCAGAGTGAAATGTCCTCATAATTGTACTTAAGTACTTCCTAGGGTCGAGGTTACCAAGATGAAGAATTTAGAATTTCTAAAGATATAAACTAGCCTCTTCTCCCTGAGGGCTTTTATACTACTTCACAGCACTGAGGAACATGTCCCAGTGGACGCTCAGCTATGGCAAGCCATTTGCCTTCAAGCCTCACTGACCTTTGACCTATGTGTGAATCCCCTGTCCTTACCCTCACCCTGTACGTACAAAGTCCTTCTCTCATTGGTAGTGTGTTAAGATGAATCAGGCATTTTATTTCCTTCTTTGGGCTTATTGTGGTGTTGTCATGGTGTCATGGTCATCTCTGGATCTTGTTGAGCTATATTATTGTTTTTCGTCCAAGAGTTGCACTCCTACCTTAGGATTCAGAAGTTGTTTTCGTCAGATCTTGCCAATGGAAAGGCATGGGTCCATCCTCCGTGATTCACCCCTTTGTGGGCTTTTGGTGCCTTGTAGCTTTTCCGCTCTGATATGACATCTTGCCTCGTTGATCAGCACCAAGGTCCCTCCACGTGTTGCTGAATCAACACACAAAACATGTCATGATCCCTATAAAGGAACAGCCTGACACTGCCTGACACTGGCCTGCAAACACACATTCACACCCTCAACATAACACACATTCCTCAGGTTGGGGAAACATGCGAGGGTCCCCCATGAGGCATGACTCCACTCTGAAGGCATCCAGCTGCTACAGCCTCTCACACAAACGCTGTTTTTTAGTTTTAAAGAAATAGACAATGAATATCTCACCTCTGTCTTCAGGCTCGAGGCTGCGTCACATCAAACTGCAGGAGGGTGAAGCATCAGTCATTACATCCCCCTTCCTCCTCCCCCCTTCTAACACTATATTCTTTCTGTCCCGCCTTTTCTTTTCTCTCACGCTAATCACGTTTTCTGCTCCTCCTATCCAATTTCTACTCAGTTTTTTCGTCTGTATTCAGAAGTTATTTCCTGCTTTGTTCTCATGTCCCGTCTGTACCTCTCTCTCTGTCTGTGTCCCTGCTGTACTGGGGGTTTCATCACACACAGGGCTTCCTGTGAGTGTGGGGGTGTGGTTTACAATAATTTTGACACCATTACTTCTGCTATTATGGTAACTTTTCCTTTTGTGAAGAACATTTTCAAGCCATGCATTTCCTTTTGATGACGGATGAAAAGATTGTTATATAACATGACTGAGTATCAACACTTAAAATAGACACAGACTTTTTGGGGGGGCCTTTTTAAGCTGTTTCTGGTGTCTTTCTCTTAGATATATCCCAATACATTATCTTCATTATTTTATACAATATAAACAGTTCCTGGCGTAACATATTTTGGTTGTGTGAATCAGACAACTGGCATTTCTTTCGAGATGGGTTGCATTCATCTGCCAGAGAGGGGGGTAGCATCAGACTTGATTCTAGCAGATGCAATAGGAGCTGCGGGTGTGGGGACGGGGTGACTTTTCAGGTTAGAAGCCGACCTCAGAGCCTGGCAGTTACTCGCTTTCGAAACCGCTGCAACTGCCTTCACCCACTTTGCATCGTGAGAGGAAGTTCAGGCAAAATGAGTTGGCACCTGTTTATGTAAGCCCATACGGAAACACCAGATACAATGAGATAAGAAAAGATAGGCGCTTTTTATTTACAAAACAAGCATATGCAATTGACATACAGCCTTGACATTGAGGGAATAGCTTATTTGAAGTTGTTGCATTTTGACAGAAGACAGGCAACACGCTGTAGCTTATATACACTGGGGCAACGTTGATCATATTTCATCAGATATTGTGTGAAGGGTCATTATGAAGCACACTGATCTTCATGGTTTGTTTGTCCTCAAAACCATGTCCTCCGGGAGGTTCTTCACACCGAGGTCAAGGCTTTTCTGGTCAGTTTGTGTTCAGACAGCGGAGATACGGGAAATTATCCTACACCCGACTTGGATCTTGTCAGTCTGTTAAAAGTTCAACATGATCTGTCTCCGTTGTGTCATTCCTTCAGTGAAATGACTTTTAACACTTTCTCTATCTCCCATGTCCATAATGCATTATAAACCAACTTATAAAGAGGTATAATCTGCTTATAGCATTGTATGATTATTGTTTTAAGCACACATAGATACTTTACAACAACAACAATAACACATTTTAAAACATTTTATAATTTTGAAGACTTATAAGGTCAAGTAACTTAGTACTTCATAGTTGCTTGTCACTGTTTCTTGCAAGGATCATATTGTATTATAATTATCATAGTTGTAATACATTACATTATTTTTTACAATGTATTGTAATCACTGTTATAAGGAATTATAATGTGACTCCATGTGCTCTTTTAGTGCATTACAGAATTTCTGATGTATAGGCAGATATAATGATCATTGTTTGCTTTAAGTTAAGTATTTAAAAAAACACAGTCATTTATGTTGAAACCTGAAACCTTTTGAAAAATGATGCACATTTACATTTAACTAATGTAATTCCCATCAAATACTCACATCAAACACCAAATTCACTCATTAACACATTATATACAGCCACAGTTAAATAATACATTGTTTCAGGTAGCATCGGATGTTTTGAGCCCACTGTTGGATTTCTGTTATGACTTATTAAAGACATAAATTAGTTTCACAAACGTAATGCTATGTTTCACTTTGAGCACTTGGCACGTGGTAACAGCTTGTGTTGTTATATTTCTATGTATACCCCAAGAGTTTCCAAATGTACTTTTAAGCAACATATGTTCACTTAGAGTTACTATCAATAGCATTGTAATGCATTAAAAGAGAGATTATAATGCCTATAATATAAATATTAATATTACAACTATGATAATTATAGAATAACTATGACCCTTGTAACCAAATAACAGTTATGAAGTATTGTGATACTTTATAAGTAATTATAAAATCCTTTATAATGTGTTATGATGAATATTATAAAGCATTATCAATGTGCTTATTACAATTATAAGGTGCTGTAATCATAATGCTCTAAATCTGTTTAAAAATGCATTTTATTCATGGAAAGTTACCAAAAAACCTACTATCTTTGAATAATGCTACTCCCTCTCTGAGCAGCTACTCTCCATGCTCAGCAGTCTCTCCGGTGCGGGGCGCGCGGTGGGGGAGCTGATGGGGGAGGAGAGCAGCGAGGCGGTGAAGGAGGAGCTGCGCCTGGTGAGGTGCAGCCTGAACTCGGCCGTTAGAAAGTAATAAAGCAGAGGGTTGAGGCAGCAGCTCAGGCTGGCCAGGCACAGAGACACCGGGTGGAACTGACTCACCGCCAGCCGGGTCGCACAGTGGGTCACTATGTCCTGCGACACCAGCAGGTAGAGCAGGAAGTTGAGGTGGTAGGGGGCGAAGCAGAACAGGAAGAGCGCAGAGCAGCTCAGCACCATCTGGAGAGCGCGCCGCTTCTCCGCCTTCGACAGCTTTTCATGAGAGGTATCCGTTGGACAGTCGGAGATGAAGGACTGGAGTCGGCTGCGTGCCGTGGAGTTGAGCCCGGTCAGGTTCTGCTGATCCTGGGTGTGTTGTTGGAAGAGAGACCGGGCTATTCGAATGGAGCTGAAGCAGATGCAGGTCAAAGGGATGATGAACCCAAAAAGCTCAGCGAGGCCCATCATGGCGATGGCCAGGTACGGGGACAGGCGACGCATGGGCAGGTCTTTAAAACAGCCCAATTTGGTAGGGATGGAGCCTCTGCTGAGATTGATGTAAACGGAGGGATGCTGGGTAGAAGTGTCAGACAGAGAGTACGACATGTTGTAGACTGTCTGTGTGCTGATGGCGTGGCTGGAGGAGCTGCTGCTACGCATCAGGATGAAAGGCGAGCAGGCCAGGCCGACCACCACCCAGACTATGAGGCTGATCAACAGGTCATAGCGCCGCCTCCAACTGCGGGCGGAGAACGGGTTGAGAAGGAAGACACACCTCTGCATGCTGATACACACCTGGAAACAAAAAGAAGATGACATAAAAAACACATTTAGAGCCACAGAAAGTAAATGTGTTACTGAAAACTGAAAAAAGGAGAGTCACTGGCTCATCTTGACTCACTCTTTTTCGGTTTACATTTGCAGAAGTTGTGGAAAGTATCTGGTACAAGCTGAGCCCAGACTATAAGGCAGTTTAAACAGTGCAGACACTGATCAGAGTCAGAGAGCCTTCTCTAGGGTGCAAGAGGAGGTCCTGCATTAACCTAGCGTTTCTATACAGCCATGCTATAGCTAATAGCAACGGCAACTTTATACTGATGATTCGGTTAATTTAAATGAAAGTCTGGAAAAGTGGGAAGTATTCAGCGAGTGTCACATTGAATATGGTCAAAGCAGTTTTTACACTCACTGAGATGACAATTGAAGGTGTGAGACTCCAATGACTTCCTGTCATGACACTTGATATTTCACATTTCTTGTTCTCATGAATTAACAAGATACCTCAAAACCCCAAGAGAAGCTTTAGCATTGCCTCAAGAGTCCAGTTTTGTTTTGGATGGGGTTTGACCTATTTGGAGATACTCGTGTTTTTATTTTTTAGTAATATAGTTGTTTTTGCAGGTGATAGCTTCTTGCAGGATTTTCAGATAGTTGAATCAGAAAACAAATTCTGAGAGTTCGAGATATTCATCTTGCTATTGATGAAAAACAAAAGTAGAAGTATTATCGGATAATAGGGTAATCCTAAAAAAAAAACTGGAAAATCTTACATGTCACGTTAGACGCTCTTATCAAAGCAACTTACATACACTGGGCAATCTCCGCCCAAGGACACAGTGACGTGTCAGTGGGGATTGAGCCAGTGCTCTCATAGTCCAAAGATCAGCGCACTATCCAACTGAGCCACAGCCTCCCTTAGTGCAATGCTAGTATCCTTGCACTACTCAATGATAACTTTCACTTTTACTCTTGCTTACCAGGAACACTATAGCGGCATACATGTTGAGGTACTTGAGGTAGAAGCAGAATAAGCAGACGCCTCGTCCAAAAGGCCAGGTGTGTGTGAAGTAATAATAAATCCTGAGGGGGAGAGAGAGGATGTGGGCCAGGTCGGCCAGCGACAGGTTAATCATGAAGATCACCGCCTTGGTCTTCTTACTGTGGAGCAACATGCAGGAGAGTTAGCCATGACCAGAGCCTGTTTGAGGCTCAATATGTGTGTGTGTGTGTGTGTGTGTGTGTGTGTGTGTGTGTGTGTGTGTGTGTGTGTGTGTGTGTGTGTGTGTGTGTGTGTGTGTGTGTGTGTGTGTGTGTGCCTACCTAATGTGTCTGCAGAGGACCCAGAGGGCGGTGGTGTTGAGCAACAGGCCGGGGATGAAGAGCAGCAGGTAGAAGTAGGTGTACATGGTGTCCATGCGTTCTTCCCAGTTGGTCATGTTGTGTCCACATAGTGAGGAGGAGTCGTTCAGGTCAGTCATTTTATCTCTCACACACACTGGTGTCAAAAACTTTTCTTCCAATCAATCCTTCATCCTATCACCAATGAACACCTGATAGACAAATAGCAGAGTCGACAGGTCATGGTATTGATAGTATTCACATTATTTTCTAACCTAACAGTTTGAAAGAAATCTCAATGGTACCATTTCTTGATTAGAAACACTTTATAAAGACTTCATATGTTGACAAATTGTCCTAATTACCTTCGACTTAAAGGATATTGGTTTTACATTTGCTTGGTTTGTTTGCTTTTGAGCAGAATTACGTAAAACTACTGACCTGATTTTCATGAAACTTAGTGGAAGGCTGTAGGCCCTAACCCTAACCCTAACCCTAACCAATAAAACGGTGTAGTGGATCAGAATCACGGGGCAGTTCTTTTTCACTAATGGAAACAGACTTGGTGGTGGTCTGTACATTCTGCTGACCGCCATCTTTATCTATAAATAATTTGTAAACTACAGGTTGCCAAGTTGTAAAGAAAAAAGTCTGGTATTTGTGGCTTGTCAGAGGAACAGAATCATTTCGACCCAACCCAACCCTAAGGTCAGTCACTGTTTCCCATTTATCACAGTTTCATCTTCAGTTAGTCAGGAAGACCCTCCCAATTAACTGTTAGGTCACATCTGGAGCCCGTTCCTTTTTTTAAGCAACTGATTCTCAAATGCAGACAGAAGGTATGCGGGGTCATGTCTGCAGTTTCATTTGTGAGGATGCCATAAATAAAGGGGTGGTTATGGGTTTCACTTTCTAAAAGGCCATCACTCTATTGTTAAATATACAGTTATACTCATATACTGTATATAACTCATATACATACTTACATACTGTTAGATATACTACTAAGACATAGTAAAGGGGTTTTCCAACTATCCACCATAGGTGCAGTTTCAAATATTAAAGTATTTTGGCCATTATGTTGGGGTCGAACAGTGCATTGGAATGGGCATCCTTTTAAAATAAAGAGCTACAAACTAAAAGCATGTAGTCCTATTAATGGATGATAAACAGCAGCCAAGTGATGGCTCATAGCTGAATGTTTTTTCAAATATTAATACTAATTCTTTATAATATAAATACGTCAAATTCCTGTATTCACAAATGTAACAGAACATTTACCTTGTTTTTATATAGCTAAATGGTGGCTTTATGCCAGATTAACCAGGGTTATTAATCATACTGATACAGAGTGCAATAAATCAGAGATGTCTCTGTCTGGCCTAAGATTGCAGCAGGAAATGTGTGGAAGCAGGACGAAGCATTTACTGCTTATCATCACTGAACCATCGCCCTTCCTTCTGCCATCAAGACGACGCCACACCCTTCCTCTGCCGGCCCCAGAGGGGGAAGAGAGAAACAGCGACAGTTTTTTTTCTGCTTTACTGTTACTTTCACAACTTATCACTTCTTGACTCCTATTGGGTGATGGTGCTAACAGTCTGCAGCAGTCAGCCAATAGATGCCCTCACACCACCTGTACAGTTATGAGTTACACAAAGCACACCCTCAGATCTGAAGTAAAGGAAGTAGCATGCAGGATTTTAAGGATTTTAAGGGGATCAATTGGGGATTTGCATTTTCTCTACATTGCTGTGCAAGAAACGTTGTCCGATTTAAAGCACATTTTATATATTTCTCAAATTTGTGTCATGTTTGGTCTTAAAATCCCGGATGACACTTAAAATAGTGCTGATGTAATATATAGTTACCACAAAAGAGAAAACATACAGGTATCTTATTTCAACATTTTACACCTAAATGCACAAATGCACTAACTTAAACTATGAGCATTCAATACCAACTCTCCTATCATCAGCAGAATGTGAAGCATGGTTTTAAAACAACAAACACAGGCAAAGCACAGCAGCATGACTTTTTCTCTAAGCACAAACTCTGATTACCTTCTCTGTCGTCACCTTAAAGGATCAGCGTGGACGGAGATGAGAGGTCAGATTCAGGAGCGACTGCCAGCGACCGCATGCTCCAGCAGCTTCACACTTCACTGTAAACAGCAGACTGACGCACTGCCTCTCCCTCGGAGCTGTTCAGCAGCAAACCTTCCTGTCACACCACAGCAGCAGAGACCTTTGCATGTGAGCACGTCTGCGTTAACTTGCCAACGCTGTGGGTTTTTTCTCAGATATGTTGAGGCACGAGGCTGTGAACTCTGGTCTGTTCCCTGTCTCTTAGTTAGGTTATAAGGGGAAGCTCTGACCTCACGCTACCGTCTGTGACATCACTCGGCCCCCAGCAACTTGAGACACACACACTATTGGGCACACAGTGAGATGGTGGTGGAGTGTGTGGTGCAGAATGCAAAACATGGCAGATGTTAGTTCTTCTTCCCTCTGTATGTCGAGCGTGGGAGGGCATGCAGTTCGTGTCTAACCGTCTAAACACTTTCTATTTCTCTCAGTGATGTTTGCAGATAATAATGCAATAGTCCTCTTCCCTTATCAGATTCTACACTTCCTTTTTTTAAATGGTGGTGCTTCAAAGCATTCATTTTGTAAAGTAGATTCAATTCAAGATTAAGAAGCTTCATTGTCATATGCACAGTAGCTACAGTGTAGAATTGGCATTGCAAATCTGAAGTACCAAGCTCCTGCAACATGGCAACATAGTTAAATAGGACATAAAACAGATTATAAAATAAAAATAAAGAAAAGGAAACAGTAAAATAGATTAGAATAAAATATTGCATTATGTTGCAGACCAATGTGCATGTAATGCAGATGAAGTAAACTATATATGTGTCAGGAAAATAAATAAATATATGCTAAATATTGCAGAGAATGTTGTAGGTGACCTAGTAAATGCAGGAGTATATGTGTGTATTGTAGATTTTGTATACATTAGTATTAGTACCTTTGGTCCTGTGACCCTTTGAACTTGTTTTTTCAACCATGGTTTTAAGTTGTGTGGCATCTATTTTCTCCGGATGTCAACCCATAGTTCAACCGAACAGCAGCGGTTTCATCCATCCTGTTAGTGTCACATCATGCTGTACATGTGAAGTCACACCCAGAGAAAATGTCTTGCTCAGAGCTTCCTAGGTATGTGCCAGACATACAGGTGCTGCTTTTGGATCTTCCTGCGCTGCTACTGTGTGGTTTCCACTCCACACACAGTTCAATATTAAAGAGCCAGGGCTGGCAGATGAAAAAAAAACATCACGGTTAACGATTTGTGGCGGCAATCACAGGATGGTCACTGTTCCAAGTCTCCGCACCTACCAAGATATAGGTATAGTTGACAGATAGAAGTACCATTTTACCTGCTGGGCACTGCCGAGGTGTCAATGAGCAAGGCACAGAACCCCCCACCTCCCTAGGCGCATGACTAAAGCAGCCTGTTCAATCTGACACCTCTCAATTAATACATGCATTTATGAATGTGTGTGTATTTCGGGCCTAATGTGTTTATTTAAATGTTTCGGTCCAATTCCAAACCGCTCCCTACACCCTACCCCTGCACACTACCTCACCACATTAGGTGCCGTTCCAATCCAACAAGTGTGGAGGGGAAGCAATGGGTAGTGGGTTATCAAATCCTCCAAAAACGAGTCTGCATCGCACCTGATGCTGTTTACAGATAGTTCCGGGGAAACATTAGGGCTACTGGTAAACTATGCAAAACAAGATAGACAATTCATATCGTCAAACAGATATTAACAACTTGATGTTACCTAATTTTGTTACCTCTTTGTATTTACCTAGGATCATACGTGTGTACTGTAGAAAATTGTTAACATGTCAATTTGATTCTGATACTGTTGCAAAAACCAAGCAGCTTATAAACATCCGATTTTAAAACAAAAAAGGTTTACAAAAAAAGAAACGCTATTAAAGATTTTTTGAGTTTTATTTTAGTTGTCACGTATTATTGCGGATTTGAAAAATGTTTTACGAAAAGTTTCCTGTTTCTGCCGGAGAGAGGGGAGTTTGTTCCAAAGCTTGTCGCTGTATTTAAACCCTCCACCTGACTCTCACGGAGTGGGTAGGGTTTGGTTTGGAATTGGGCCTTCTACTTCTTCCTTTATTCTATTCTGGTGTTTTCACTTTTATATGTGCTCTGGCCACTAGAGGTCAGAGGAGGCCTATATTCTTTTTTCACTCTTCCTTCAGTATTGGACACACGTCTTCTGTTGCAATATTTCAGCACATTCTTTACATGAACCACTCGAGGGGTAAAGGCTAGATCTTGCACACTTTTCTACACTCCCACTCTTGTTGTCCTCTCTGCTACCCTTGACCCCAAATCCCAGAAGACTCCATCTACTGTTGTCTCCCTGCTGCGTGATGCACATGTTCACATCACTCAAACTGAGAGAGGCCTGCGGGATTTATTTTCTCTCTTCAGTCTCTCTCTTGCAAATCCCTGCTTAAGGTATAGAGCCTTATGGCTGTCCCATGTAAGGCCATGCATCTCTGACTCTGCATAGCTCTTTGAAAGAATGGATAAACATCTTGTACTAACATCATGTACTAACATTATGTCATCTGATGTACGCAGGACCCAGATGCTGGTCCTTACAGTAGCTCAGTGGTTCTCAAAGTGGGGGGCGCGCCCCCCCCCCAGGGGGGCGCAGAGGCATGACA